GCCTGTCTGTTTGTATGCATGTATGTGTGTTATGGTTGCCTCCAGGCTAGCTGATAGTTGGACCGTTGAAATGATGCTCCTAGTGCTCACCAAAGGACCATCAGCACCGTAGACACCATAAGTACTGCAGACTCCACGAACCGCCGCTGCTGGGCTGGAATCTCGCCGTCTGCTATCCGCCCTAGACCTAGGACCAGGCTCCAAGTTCCAGTAGGTGAACCTCTTCCTTCTGTAGAGCGAAGCAGTATCAGGAACAAGAGCTCTTACAAGAGCTCAGTAGCTAAGGGAGTATGCAGAGCATAGCAATCCCTATAGTGATTATAGCTGTCTCTCGAGGCTGCGAGTTATAGGGTCAAGTAGTTCTCTTTTAATCAGCTACAAAGGACTTTCTTTTACGCAGGTTTTACACATACAGTACCGCCCACAGGGTTTTGTAAAGCAACCAATAAAACACATAATATACAATAAAACACTCCCATTCATTCCCACATATTCTTACTCAGCATACTTCAAATACTCTCAAAAATCGTACAAATCCCTCCAGTAGATATAAAGTTAGTCGGAAGTCCTTTGTGACCGACCGCAAGCACATTTTCCTGCCCAAAACAGTGCCATAGATTTGGGCTGTGGGGTCGATAAATTTTACACTGAAAAAATTACTAAGTCCTATTCGCATGCACGAACGGGGTACCATTCGTGCAAATAGCTTAGTCTCACTGTGTGTTGAAATCGCAGAACGGGACTTAGACGCTGCGGCTTAAAACTGAGTGGAGACAGTGGTGTATCCTGGTTTTGTGCTGCCCTAGGTTTTGAGTGGAGGAGAAGCTAAGGGTCAGCGGTGTTCGTTGAAATGTGTAGCCGATTTCAGTTCCATAGATTTGGCTGCACACACCGCTGACCGAGTTCGCCTGAATAAAGATGGCCGCCACCACGTGTTCGTTTGTACGAACAGCGGCCACCCAGCAGTCGGTAATTTACCTACAGCAGCCTCCCAGCCTGGGAGGTAAATTGACGGCACATTTCCACTTCTGGGTGGTCCGCCTGTGTGGTACTTGATTAGGTAAGCCCCATTTACTGAACCAAGTAGGAAAAGGGCACAAACAAAGTATTTTAGGGAACTGGGGACACAGTCTTAAAGGGGCATTGTTCCCAAAAGTTTCAATGTGTCCCCAGATGGTTCTTAAAGGGCCATACACACTAGGTCCATAGTCATGGGGCAGAAGGCTGGCAATTAGGCTTTTCCATAATCCAGGGGAACAGGGCAATTTGTCACTTAAAGAGACAGTGACAAAAGACATTTTGTAACAATGTGTCTTTGTATGTATGTGTGTTTTGTGTGTGTGTCTGTGTGTATGTATGTGTTTATGTGTCTGTATGAGTCTATGTTTGTGTGTCTCTATGTATGTATGTGTGTGTATGTATGTGTCTCTGTATGTATGTGTGTCTGTATGTATGTGTGTTTCTGTCGGGAGGCGGGGGAAGATGGGGGTCCATGAATCAGTTTCACACCGGGGCCCCATGGATTGAGATGAGTTTAGTATTCTTCTAACAGATAAAACACAAAACAGTATAGTATAAAGAAGAGTTTTCCAGATAAGATTCCCCAGTTAATATCCCAATTCACACACACAATTCATTATGTCACACTTTTACATTGTTAAAAATGTAAAATAGAATGATAGTAGTAAATGAGGTAAAATGTTCAAACATGATAGTTCTACCACCCTGTTTGTTGTAGAAATATTGCATTGAATATATAGCCATTAACTCATACCTAGTAGATCATTAATACTGGTGTTAGTGACGTGTTTGAGATTTAATATACCACAAGAACAAACAGTTAACTGTATTATTGTCTTTAGGATGGATTCTCAGTCTTTTCACACATTAGGAGTTAGCTCGAAAAATGATTATGCGAAGGGGCCATCACGCTTACTTAGGTAATCTCATTAGTGAATTAACTACTGTATTACAGTATATTTAAGGGATGCCCTAGTAGACAAGGTTGATCATATTAATATGACAGCCTACTGAGTCCATAATGCGTTTTTACTGAAAAATAAACTACACGCAGAAAGCCAAACAATGGCAAATTTTAATTCCTCAAGGATTAGACCTTCCATTGTCAATAGGAGACATTTATCCTTTTATACTGAACTGTCATAATCTTATCTCTCAGATGTTTCACTGTAAGTCGGTTACTGTCATTATATTCCCCAAAACATTGTGAATATAGAAGATTAAGATTATAAGGGCACTGCCATGTTTCAAACATGTAAATGGCTGGCAATCTGTGACGCCTGGTGCATGAAGAGTGAATATTTAAAACAATGAACATGCAGTAATGGGCAATGATGCTTTTGGACAAGGAATTGGATAAAATATGCCAACTATCACAACTTTTTCTGCAGCTGCTACTTTTTGTTCTAACGTTGAATATATCTTAATTAATTCTAATTTTTTACTGCTTATGGAATAATTTACAACCCAGTATTGGTATCTGATTGATAACATATTCTGACATTTGTGTGGTATCCATTGAATGCTTTCAATGAGATCACTATCCAAAAACGCCACATCCTATTTCTTTCCATAACACTGCTGAAGTTAGACCGGGTTTAAAGGGACACTCCACACTTCTAAAACACTTTAGATTGATGAAGTGCTTTAATGTGTGAATAGTATGTCAGCTGATGTTATTCATCATGAGTAATCATCAATCTATGGGGTGTAATTTAACTCTATATTGCTTGTTTTATACATTTGTCAATTTTGCTTTTGTGTTCTAATAACAGTATCCATTTTTTTTTTTTTTAGGTTTTTCCTTCATAATTATTGTGCTACTTATATATCACTGTTTTAATTCTATTAATATATGTAACAATAATTATAATTATGTATTCATAATATGAAAGCTATTGATTTATACCCATCAAATTTAGATGAGGGAGAAACGGGTCAGCAACAATATCTTTCTACTGAATTTACATCTAGCCATTTACCGCTGACCAGTAGTCTAGGAGGTATTGAACATAAATGTATACCCTGAGACAAAGTCTTACTAATTGAGCAGTGTAGTACCCCAAATGAAATTAGTGAAGCCTACTCCAACAACCCTGGTTAACTCTGCAAAACCACAATACAAATGCAAAACCACAATATACATGCAATAAAAATGATTATTTTATATTTTTGGATAAAGTTTTAAAAATGTTTTTTTTTCAAAATATTTAAGTATCAAAAAACATTGTATATATGCATATAAAAAAAACAATATAGAAAAAATATCAATATATCAAAAAATATCTAAATGTTTCAAATATTTTTCAAAATATTAGATAACTTTAAAAGTTTATCCAAAAATATTACGTAATTTGAAAAGCTATTACAAAAATATTATATTGCTTCCTTAGACCCTGATTTAATAAGCTTTCTAAAGCTTTCTAAATGATTCAATACTGTTACAGTCAAAAACTTTCCAAATGATTTATCAAAAGAAAATTCCCATAGACTGTAATGGTGACTTCCTTAGAGAAATCATTTGTAAAGCTCTTCTAAGAATATTGAATCATTCAGAAAGCTTATAAAATGTACTACATAGTTAGTAAAAGTAACATGTATTACCTGAAAGGATCAGCATATCTTCTATGTATATGATCATCCGGACACACCTGTTGCGTAGAAGGTGACCATGGGCTTCAGCAGCTTGGTGAAGCACCAAGGAGCCGATGATAGTTCAAAGGGAAGGCACTGGAATTGTCACATCATCTCGTACCATTGGAATTGGAGGAGGTGTTGACATTCTTCGGCAATGGGGATTGTGAGATAGGTGTCCTGCAGGTCTAGTTTGACCATCAGGCCCTTTTCCTGTAGCGAGAGAATTATCTCCCGTACCAGGCTCCTGTCCCAATTGGAAAAAACAATTTGGTGCGGCATAGAGGTTTGGACTGGGTGCTGCACAAACTCGATATGGTAACTTAGGATAGTGTTTAGGACCCAAACATCGGAGGTCAGTCTGTGCCAGGCATTGACAAAATGAGAAAGTCTGCCCCCACAAATGACATACAAGGGGGAAGGGATGCTAGAACACTCACCATAAGGCCGACGGTCATACAAGGCACCCCTAGTCCCTTGAGACTGCCACGATCTGCGAACAAGACTTGTTCTCCGTAGGCTAGAACCTAGGCATGGCGGGGCCTCTGTAACCCCATTAGGAACCCGGGAGGAGCAGCCAGGCAGAAGGCCCCGATCTCTGCCGGCCCCAACAAAAATCTTGGGAGAGAACACTCTCTTCATGTTTGTTTGTGTCTTGTCCAATGCCGTTAAGGTACTGACATAGGTACATAACTCCTTCATGAAGTTGTGTCCAAAAAGGAGGCCTTTTGCCTCTGACCCAGGCTCAGATATTGCCATGTTGACAAGTTTTGGCCCAATTTTCATGAGGCTAGCTTTACGCCGCTCAATAGCCAATGCAGCATTTGCATTGTCAATTAGGCAAATAGAGCATTGGACCCAACCCCTAAAGGCCAGGAGATCAACTGGTGCCCCATCGGTTAAGGCTGCTTCGATCATGTCGAAGATTTTGGCACTAGGGACTAATGTGTCAAGCACCTTGTCCTGGCAGTGGCGTAAGGAGTAATCAAGCCTCTTTTTTGCTTTCCAGCCTGATTTTCCCAGAAATTGGGCGACTTTCGGGTCTATGTCCGGCGTGGCGCAGGCCATGTCAGGGACTGTAGGGCGCGGGCAATCCGTCCTAAGTTTATTCCTTGTGGCCTTAACCAGGGGTTTCCTGATTCCAGCTGCTATATATTGTGCCACGTGCTCGGTTGGGTACCCTTCGGCTGCACTCGGGTTCTGTAAGGCATCGGGGTCAAAGAGGGGTTCACACTGTGGGTCTAGAATGGCAGAAGCATCCCCAACTTCTTTAGTGCCTATGGCTGGCTTGCATGCCAAACTGTGGCCCGGAGATGAACTCTCAGATTCAACAGAGCCGATCTCACCGCACTCGTTCGAGAATCCGAACCAGAGTCGGAAGACTCCGTTAGGGCTTTTGCCCTTTTCCATGTCTGCTCTGCTTTTGCCCGGCGGGTGGCTCTTTTTCGTGGGGGCCCCATGTCCTCAGTGGTAACAGGACACAACCTGTCCATCAATTCAGTTTTGGAGGTATGCTCACCCACATTGTGGGTCTTATTTGTAGCCTTATGGCTGCTATGGGCCACCGGCCTATCCTCAGAGGCCTTGGGATGTGAAAAATCGGGGGTGTGGCTAAATGCCAGGATGGCGTTGGTAATGGAGTGGGATAAATTATCCGACATTTCCCCCATTGCAGAGTAAATAGCCTGTGTGACCAATTTGGTCATTGTATCGTCCAGGAGCGAATGGAACTCTTCCGAGTTCAGTTGCTCCATTGAAGCTACCTCTTCCTAGGCTCAGGGGCCAGTTGGTGTCTAGTGACACCCTCAGCAGTGGTAGGGACAGTACCCTGGTATTTTTTAGGGGTCTGCATAATAAGCAAACAAATACAGTGCAAAGATATTTTGGCAATTTCTGTCTATCAGTTCCCCAGTCTGATAAACTCACACACTGCAGTGACAGGCAAGAAAAGGACAGGGCAAGACACAATACAAAAGTTGCTGGCAGCTTACTGAGTGTTCCCTCAGGAATAGCTTCAGGGAAGTACTGGTAAGCTGACTGGCATGGTAAGTATCCAATCAACTCGCGCCCGCCCCCTAATAGAGCAGCGCAAGCCAGGAAAAGCGCGGCAAAACTCTCTGCCACACACAATATGGCCGCCGCGATGCGCAGCCACAACTGCGTATGCGCGATTGGCCTCGGTCGCAGAATAGGCTGCACCAGAATGAACGGTTCCAGCGAGGTTCCCCTCCGCCCAGGAGGCCGTGGCGCCGCGACCGGAAGGCCCGTGTGTAATAAACTACCCGAAAACAGTGAGGGGAAAGAGTGTTAGCTGCCGTGGGGGGCAGGAAAACTGGAAAGGAGGAAAATAAAATGACAAGTTAACAACAGAGGGCCAGACACAAAGGGCCCTGTACACTTAGAAACACCAAAAAGAAAAAAAAATTAAGTCAATCAAGTTCTCTGCAAGCTTGTATTGGAGATCTGGAGAAGCAAACTGCAACATTGAGACAGAGTGACAATCTTGAAAGGGGTCTGCTGCTCACTGAGCAGAGTTTAGTGGGGGACTCTAGTGGAATGTGAGGAGTTAAGTCATATTGGGAACTGACTCATAGTTGGGTAACAGTAGCACTTGGCAGCAGGGGGGTAGGGAAGTGGAAAGCTTTAGCTAGTCCTGACTTTGTGCAAACTTACATATTTGCTCATTTGAGTGAAGATGTTTGGAGCATCAGCTCAAGAGTAGCTATTCCTTCTAAAAACCAAGGGAACAGCCCCTCAAGTACATGTGGGGTTGAGAATATAAGAAAGGCTAGACAGGTTGTGGTGATAGGGGATTCTATTACTAAGAGAGTAGACAGGGTAATTTAACCAAATGTACACGTTGTGAAGGAAACAAAATGTAAACAAAACCTGGCATTTGCGCTACATGTCTGTCCAACCGTAATTCACCTCTTTCATATTAAATGCACCCACCCTTATTATATATCATTTTATTCAGGGGAAACAGGGCTTTCATTTAATATCAAATATTTAGCTATGAAACATAATTTAATATGAAAAAAATGGGAGAAAATAAGATTTTATTTGATTTTTTTAGCTCTACATGACATTTTAACTGTCACTGTCATAATACTGTTTGCTTTTACTGCAATAAAATACACATATTTGTATTCAGCAAAGTCTCACGTGTAAAACAGTACCCCTATGTACAGGTTTTATGGCGTTTTGGGAAGTTACAGGGTCAAATATAGCACGTTACAGATGAAATTGAAATTCGCCAGATTGGTTACGTTGCCTCTGGGACTTTATAGTAGCCCAGGAATGAAATTTACACCCATAATGGCATACCATTTGCAATAGTAGACAACCCAAGGTATTGCAAATGGGGTATGTCCAGTCTTTTTTAGTAGCCATTTGGTCACAAACACTGGCCAAATTTAGCGTTAGTATTTGTTTGTGTGAAAAGTGCAAAAAATGCCAATTTTGGCCAGTGTTTGTGACTAAGTGGCTACTAAAAAAGACTGGACATACCCCGTTTGCAATACCTTGGGTTGTCTACTAATGCAAATGGTATGCCATCATAGGGGTAATTTTCATTCTTGGGCTACCATAGGCTCTCAAAGGCACCGTAACCAATCTGGCGAATTTTTATGTGAAAAAAATGAAATGCATGCCTTATATTTGACGCTGGAACTTTTGAAAACACCATAAAACCTGTACATGAGGGGTACTGTTGTACTCGGGAGACTTCACTGAACACAAATATTTGTGTTTCAAAACAGTAAAAAGTATCACAGCTATAATATCGTCCGTGTAAGTGCTGTTTGTGCATGAAAAAGGCAAAAAACTTCACTTTTACTGACGATATCATCGTTGTAATACACTTTACTGTTTTGAAACACTAATATTTGTGTTCAGCAAAGTCTCCCGAGTAGAACAGTACCCCCCATGTACAGGTTTTATGGTGTCTTGGAAAGTTATAGGCGCAAGTCATTGTGTAGGAAGGAGGGGTTTGGCTTTTTAGAGCACTGAGCTAATTTTGCACCTGGGTACAATCTTTATAGCTGTGATGGAGTGCACCTAAACATAAGAGGGTCTGCTGTACTGGGGGACATGATGGCATAAAGATTGGATAAGATTGTTAACTAGTGGTGTGGGTGAGGAATACAGAAATCTACAAAATGTAGATGTTACACAAAGGAAATGGGCTTAGACTTTGCTCAAGGGATGGGGAGGGGCAACATCAAATCAAGGGAGCCATGCAACAGTAATAAAAATTCACATAACGTACAAGAAACTCATGATAATAGTAAATGTATGATTATTAAAGCAAGGAGCCTAAATAACAAAATGAGAGAACAAGAGGCAATAACATATACTAAACAATATAACATAATTGGCATAACAGAAACATTTTAGGATGAGACACATGACTAAGCTGAGACACATGACTTATATGGTTACACATTATTTAGGAAGGATAGAAAAAACAGGAAAGGTGGTGGGGTATGTTTGTATGTCAAGTATGAGTTAAAGCCTAATATTAAGCAAGTGGAATATGAAGAGTAAAGTGTGGAAGCTTTATTAGTGGATATCTGCTTGGGGAAAAATAATGGAAATCAATTATTGGTTGTTAATATTGATGAGGAAGAGCAGCTTTTAAAGCAAATTTTGAAAGCAGCACATCTGGGTAATTAATTGGAGATTTTAATTACCCAGGCATAAATTAGGTTAGAGTACTAGTAGTTCAGCAAGGGGAATCAGATTTTTGAACCTGTTAAATGACAACTTCATGGTACAACTGGTACAAGCACCAACTAGAAAGGATGCTTGCCTGCATCTCGTTATAACAAACAATGTTGGTCTTTTGACAAACATCCAAACAGGGGAGCATTTGGAAAATAGTGATCATAATAGGGTGTCTTTTTACATTAACTTAAAAACGCAAATGCACATGTGGTATACTAAAACACAATTTTAAAAAGGCACATTTCAATAAGATAAGGGCAGCTCTACAACATATTGACTGGCATAAACGATAAGATAAATGGAATAATTCTCAGTGTGTACCATTGGGTAATAAATATAAAAAACAAATTGAAACCAATGTGGGTGACTGCGAAAGTAAACCAATAAAAAAATAAAAAGGGCATTTAAATTGAACAAATCAGAGGCACCCCACATAAGATGCAAAGAACCAATAATGGAAAGATGTGGAATGCTCTGGCTGAGGTGTTGGTTTTATCAGAGTCCGTACAGATGTTTAAACAGCAACTGGGTGAACACTTGCAAAAATATAATATTCAGGGATATAATTCTTAATTTATGAGGTGTTAGCTTCTTAATCCAAGGAGAGATCAGACTGCCGTTCTGGAGTCAAGAAGGATTTTTTCCCTAGTTTGTTGCAAAATTGAAAAGCGCTTCAAACTGGGTTTTCTGCCTTCTCTTGGATCAACAGCAAAAACAGATGTGAGGAAGGCTGAACTTGATGGACGCATGTCTCTTCACAGCTATGTCACATGAACCAGCACAAGATTTATCCTGCAGCTCTTGATAATCTGTCCATATTTCTGGTTATTTGGGTGAGTGCAGGAGCAAAGATAATCATGTATAGTAGCAGACACTTGCAGATATCAGATAACATTATTATGATCAAGTAAGAGTAAAGCAATCAAGTACAGGGTTAGCATGTTAAAAAAATATTGCATTTATTTCAACAATCCGTATTAGTAATATAACTGTTACATTGAAAAATCTGATATTTTAATACAGAATATAAACTATAGATGTAATGAAGAATAGAAGTATGTTTTTAAAGAAAATTTTGCAATAATTCCATGACCCTTTTTAAAGAAAGATAACAAAACATGCCTTGCATATGCAGCTATATTTTCATAGCAGTCCAGCAGGGGGCAACCTTTTTTCAGCTATTCCACAAAAATAATGTTCAGTGAACAAGCAGAGAAAATGTTGATCCTAATTGGAGCAGACAGAGGGATCTTCTATAATCCATCAACATCCTTTTCAAATTATGATTCTTAGGTGGGTGGTGTCTGAAATGCCAGTGCTGGCTCCTCTATAATAAAGCCAAACAATTGTCAAATCTCTCTGTTGAATGCATGCTTACGCCAAGACAGACTTCTGAGCATGTGATACAGGGTAACATTACATTTCCAATTTGTTAATGGGCCTTGGTGGCTACATGCAAACCCGATATCAATACTGATTAACATTAATTTATTATTACATAATTTCCATTTTATCAATATCTTATATGCTTAACATTTTACAGCACATACATTAATACAAAGAAGCATCATATGATGTGTGTATGTCCTCACATGCACGCACAATGCACACTTACACTTAAACCTACACAAACACACATGAATACATACATGTCTCCCTATTTTATAACCAGATAATGAAAAACTATCCAAAGGATTATTTAATTTGTAGTGAAATAGTTAATTATTTTCCAGTGCACAAGTCAGCATTGAATATTTATTAATAAAATCAATTCATGCAGTAGACAGATATCACAGGTTCAGTTCAATGTGTACATATAAAATAAATGTAAATATATATGTAGAGAGGGCAGGTAAAATCTTGCTAATGTACACTATATTTTAGAAATATTTGCTCATATTACTAATGTGTTCTTGTGTTTAAGTCAGCTCAG